TGGAGACCTTGAGCAGCTCCATGGCGCGTCGCTCATAGGGTGCGAAGCCACACACCTCCCGGATCATGTCCCGCACAAACTTGGTGTGCTTGGTGAGGCGCCCGCGGCGGCGGCTGTGCCTCGGCTGGCTCACGTTCTTGGTGACTTTGTGGCCCTTGTTGAGGCCCACGGCCATAGGGTAGTGCACTGCCATGGCTGCTGCACGTCGATGGCTGCCGCGGCGGAAGGACGGTTGCACACAGAATTCTCTGTATGCTTTTTTAAATATGTATATCTTTAAACCTGGAAACATACTGTCTATATTATGTTAAACCAGTTACACATATCTCTAATATGTTTTTGTTTTATACATATATAAGAAATATATATATAAATATACTTTGCCATTTTAATTTATTTATTTATTAACAGCAATAGGACCGTTTATTCATTGTTGACTCAATTTGTCATTTTTAATTGTACAATTCAGTGGAATTTATTGCATTCATGAGGGTCAGCTGTGAGTGGGTTCCAACTTGACTTCATAACAACATAGTAACAATCATTTCTATAACTTTTCATCACTTCAAATAGCAACTCAGAGCTCATCAGACTAATGCTCTTTATTCTCCTGTTTGCTCTGTCCCTGGTAGCCTCTAATCACATTACTGTTTTACATCTTCTAAATGTTTTATATAAGTGATGGGAATAGGAGTCCAACTTCATTCTTTGACATGGAAATCAGTTGTCCAAGGACCTTTATTGAAGAACTTTTTCTTTTTCCATTAAATGGTCTTAACCCTTGTTAAAAATCAGTTAGCCAAAAAAAAAAAAATCAGCCATATATTTGTGGGTTTATTTCAGGACTTTTGATTCTCTTCTTTTGCCTGTGTCTGTCCTATGCCAGTTCTACATGGCTTTGATTACTGTAGCTTGGGAGTAAGTTGTTTTGTTTTGTTTTTTACAAATTTATTTTAAGCAAGGTTGTTCTCAGGGAGTAAGTTTTGAGACCAGAATATGTGAGACCTCCCGCTTGGTTGTTTGGTTCCCCACCCCCTTCAAGATTACTTGGCTATCAGAACCCCCAGAAATTACTTACAAATTTGAGGATCTAGTTTTCCATCCCTGCAAAAAAGACTATTAGAATTTTTATAGAGATTATAATGAATCTATAAATTGCTTTGTATGGTATTTTTATCTAGACAATATTAATCTTCCACTCCATAAACATAGAAAGTCTTTCCAGTTATTTAGATCATATGTTTCCTTTGGGAAAGTTTTATAACTTTCAGCTCATAAATTTTTTACCTCGTAATTTAATCAGAGGACAGGAAAAGCCTATCTACACACCAATTCTACAGGATGCATCACCTTTGACCGGGAAATATTTCGACTAAACTTCAGAGACACTGTTCCCAACATAAGGAACTACCATCAGCTGATGTATTTGAAATCACAGAAGCCATGGAAGCTTCATATATAAGTTATTAGATGGAGGGCTGGTGAAAGGGAGATAGATGTGAAGGGAGGGGGTAGAAGTGGATGGGTATCCTGCGGGATGGTGAAGCAGGAAGTAAGTGGGTAAAGACACATGTGAGAAAGGCAGGGACAACACGGACACTAAAGTTAACTCCGCAATAAGGGATATACCTTTAACTTGCTGGTCTGTCTAATACTTCTCTAAATCTGAACATGCACATTGAGACAGACTAGGAAGAAGGATTGGCCATCCACTTCTGAAAT